ATGACTGCGAGGTGCTGGCATCAGTTCCACAACTACCCGCCAGCACCTCGGTGAGTACAACAGGAAAGACGGCTGCATCCAGCAGCGGGCTGGTTCAGGACCTCTCACCCAGCCCTTCACCTGGCGTCCTCCATGAGCCAAGTCCACGCCCTACCCTGAACACCACCCTTGACCCCACCTCTACCCGCCATCCTAGCCCCATCCTTGATCCCACCCGTGGTTCTTCCCCTGCCTCTTCCTCTGGCCCCACTACTGGCCCTACCTCTGGCCCCACCTCTGGCTCCTCGCCAGGCCCCACACAAGGCCCCACCAGTGGCCTTTTGCCCACTATTGCAAAGGGGTATATGAGTACACCACCTGGCATATGCCTCAAAAATCGTACGTTTCAGTTTACTACTGTTTGAACATTGTAAGACGGCCTTGCCCATCCACCAGCTTCTGGCAAAGCATGACTAATTTGTGACACAAAAATCACCAATGTAAGTTTGTATAAGACAAACAAAATGCAACTAGCCAGACGTTTCAATGTGGATAAACTAATAGCTATATTCATTACTCCGACATTTTGAGTTGTTTCTTAAATATTCATTACTGCATGTACAAAGAGCGCATCTAAATGAAACGTATAAATGCTCTATTTTATCTGTAACCAACCTATTACAGTGACCTGTGTGATACTGCTTCTACTAAGACATTGTCAATGCGTTACTTCAGCCCACCTAGCAAAGTCGTGTCCTTTCCTTCCTTTTTTTTCTTTCCTTAGGGCATTCTCCTTTTATTACCTCGTAAGTAGCGTGGAATAGAGCGGAAATGGATTATGATATTGTGAGCATATACCTTCTTTACCCGTTCACAATCATGGTCACAGAGTTTTTCTTTTCTTCATGATCATTGCTTGTGGGGACTCATCCATATATTGTTCACCCACATCTTGAAGGCGATGGAGGCAAAAATGTTGTATGCCCGTGTGCTCAGATGTGGGTGCACGTTAAAGAACCCCAGGTGGTCAAAATTTCTGGAGCCCTGCACTACGGCATATCTCATACCCACATGATGGCTTTGAGACCCCACACATCAATCAATCACATCTTCAAGGCGTATTAAAGGCCTGACATCTCCTTCGTCACAATGTGCACACTCAAACTTTCAGCACTAATAAGGGTATGCATAAAAGCATCAGATTATGTGTAAGAAACTTAATGATGGCAAAGTGAAGCGTCTAGGCTTTTTCCTGACATTGGACAATATTTTAGTATTAAACTATGGAAGGCAGTTTCAGAATGTAAACCTACTAAAATTGTGAAAAAAAAACTTGATTTTCGCTATAATTCATGGCCTTCACATTTTCACCAGGACCTAATCACTCATTCCAGTCCCTTTGACTTTGCGCAAGGATAAAAACATGATGATTCTACTTCTCATGTTAATTTAAAGCCTGTCTGGGTGCTGAATTAGAGGTGCTTAAAAGCTCCTCGGCTGTCTTTGGTCTGGGAACTTCTACCTCTGTATATTGACAGCTTAGATTGCCTCTACATGCATGTGATCCCAACTTCCTGGTAAAGTCTAGAAACGAAGAGATGTTACTTCTGTTACAACCTTTAAGCAGTCTACACTTGCTCTAACCTATTTTACTTGCCAGTGCAAGCATTATGTATCTTGCAGGCAGGTCAAGCATGTTGACAACCCTCCATGCGGTCAAAACATTCAGTGGATAAAAAAACCGATTTCGTGCAGCTTGCATATACCTACCTAGATAGCGCATGAAAGCAACAGTGAGAATGAGTGTAGCGAGAGAGCATGTATGTTCTATTTCTCATGGAAACATCCCATAATGCTAAACATTTTGCAATTACAGGAAAAAGGCGTGAGGATCCCCACTTGCAGTTTTTCGAAAAAAGGCTGCAACATGAGAAAGGTGCCCGGAGCAGAAACAGAGAAATGGAAAAGGAGTGGTTGGCCCTAGAAAGGGAACGCCTTGCAGTCGAGGACCGCCACATCACTTTAGAACGAAACAGGCTCACCTTGAACAGAGAGGTATTTCTCCAAAAAAAGAGAAAGTGGGAAGAAACCCAAGAGGAGAAAAAGGAAGAGCGGCTTGCCAGGCAAAGAGAAAGGGAACAAGAAAGAGAACTTTATCTCCGACAGCAGGGTGCCCTGATTGATTTGGTAAAGTCTGTCGTTGAGAACTATATATATATATATATATATATATATATATATATATATATATATATATATATATATATATATATATATATATATATATATATACATGAACAAATGCTTAGTAAGTCTTATGCATTGTAATAGACACGATTGTATAAGAAAAAATTGTCGGAAAAAAATTGCGGACCCTAAAACTTTTCCTTTAGAAGTTGACCGCGATTGCAATGTCCTGTTCCCCTAGTGCGTACTTCAATAGCCAGCGGTTAATGTAAGTTACCAATTAAGGACCATGCAGGATAAAAGAAAAAGTGATGAGTTGTTTTAACAGCATGTGATAGTTTTGATGCACAGAGAAAAAAAAGAGAATAGATTGAACTTTTTGAATGAATTAGACTTATGCATAATGCATTATTTTTTGGTCGGTTAAATAGTGCAGTGTAGTACTGAAAATTTAAATTTAGGCTTGGTTACTCAGCCTATTACTCAACAAGACCGGCATTCCTTTTGCTATCCTTCGTCATTCTTTGGAGAAGCGTGGTATCCGCTTCATACTTGGAAAAATTTTTGTTCAAATTTTTTACGCAGTGGCTGAAGACGAAAAATTATGCCCGACCACAGTGGGTAGGCGCCACAGTTGATAAGAGATCGAAATTTTGTATGGGTTGGAGCATTGGACGTCACACTTGTTAAGCAATTTGCGTTATGTCACAGTTTATTTTATTGCTGTTTGAAATTCCTTTCTTACTCATACTAATGTGATTCCTTTCCTGACATCAAGCCTGCCTTTGTGATCTCATAGCAGCTTTCGGTGTAATAGGTTTCTACCCTTCGAAGCTGCACAGATGTCTCGCATCACTCTCTCTTTTCCTGCTGTGGTACACTCCAAGTATATGCCGTACTAATTTGGTGAAGCATATGCAAGTTTTGTTCTAGGCAGAAGGCGGGACAAGATAGCACAAAAAATAACAGCAAAAGCGTACCATATAGGGAACGGGAAGATGTGCATCTGACACATTGGTGTAGCTTTAAAAGGCAGAAAGTGATTTTCTTTATTTATTTAGAGAGTACCTACATCACCATATAGGCATTACGTAGGGGGGAACAAAAAGCAGTCAGTACAAAGGAATTCGTAGCAAAATACATAATGTACATAAAAAATAAAAATAAAAAAGAACCACCACCACATTTATCAGAACATAATAATGCATCACAAAGTACATTTTCATACACACAGAACATACATAATGCAAGAAGAATTTCACAGCACAGAAAAAAATCATTATTTGTTATATCATCCAAGTCGTCACATAAGCTGTTCCACTCTCTAATTGTTTTTGGAAAGAATGAGTGGAAAAAGTTTTGGATCTGCATTTGAAGGTAGATATCTTTTTGCTATTGTCACAGCGAGTGGATGTGTAGGGGGGTTGAACAAGGTAGCAATGGTGATTGATTCATGTGATGACTGCTATATGCTTGTAATTGTATTTTTCTTTATTGTACATTTTTGTTCATGTAATTATGCTTTTATCACTATAATACTCTGCATTGTTAAATCAATTAATGTATTCTTCTTTACTTGCAATCTTGTTTTTTTATTTTTGCACAATGATTCACTATGGTCCACATTAGTGTACACTCGTGATCCTCTTGTATGTGTATTTGTTTTCCTGATGCTAGTTTCCCGTATAGCTAGTTCTTGTCTTGCACTAACAATTTCTAGGAACACTATTGTGGTTGCTGTTGTGTTTGTACTAGCAAAAGAAGTGCCATGATCCAGGCAGTATTGCACATTGTAATTAGGAGCCTACATATCAAATGGAGAAATAAATATTTCACTGAACTGTATCAAATGTGAAAACTCTCATACTCAACCTTTTGGTTCTACTTGTCCCTCTGGCAAATGTCATCACTAACTTAAAGTAGGCTATCTCAGTAGACTTAATATTGCTAGTTTTGCTCCTTCACTACACTCCTTTTTAATTTCTCGCTTGGGGATGACATTACAGTCATTTGCACAACAAGCGCAAAGTAACAGCTTTAGAGGGCTCTTTGCTACTAGGTCTGCTCACACATTCGTTGTATTCAACACTTCTATCTTGCACATGTGGGGGTAGGTTAGGGGCAAATGCAATGTTGCAGTTCCTTTTGGGATGTTACTAAACACCAATTTTCAATTTTAACAGACCTAAAGGCTTTTATGTTTTGTGAATAGCCTAATTTAAAAGAATTAAAATGTAATTGCTTAGTTAGTGATGGAAGTGACCTTACTTTTTGGAGCATAACTTGAAGCAGCCATAAAATTATTCGTAGCGGGAAAACATGCTAGTTTACATGACAATAGGTATAACGTGAGAACAGAAAGATGTCAAAGAGACACGAAAGAGACCTTTTTTGTCCTGTTCTTGCGTTGTACCTATCGTCATGTCATACCAACTAGCCCAAACGCCCACACTGCTAGTTTACAGCAGCTACCAGTGTCTCAGGAGCAGCTATCAAATTTGCCCGGCCTTAATTGGAGTTCAGAGCATTGTCGAAAAATCTTGGAAATATTTATTATTATGAAATGTATTTACCAGACAACAATCAAAGTACATTTTATGGTGCAAACAATGGCAGTTTGTCAAAAATGTGCTGTGAAATGAGCCACAATTTGAAATACTAGTATTTGGAGTGGAAATATTTGATTAAATAAGCAGCCAATTCCTCAAATCCGTATAACAGTGTATAGAAAAGAATTTAAGATGACACTTTCTGTGAGAGAAATATAACATGCGGATGCGATGAAGGCAAACAAATACAAGCACAGCTGTGCATCTGTTGGAAATTCGGCACTCTTAGATCACCAGATTGCTAAGGTGAATGAAAGCGTTTTCAATAAATTGAGAAAAATTTTTGCACAAAAGAGCACATGTACTCAAGTTCGTCGCACGTGATATACACACCATCTGTCGAACACGCACTCTGATACACACAATCTAATAGTGGCATGCATGAGCACACACTACTGAGAAAATCCCCCCACCAGTCTCACTTCTGGCCACTGTATGCTGACTGTGGCACACACGAAAAGTGCTGCTAGCTACAGCACAACAAAAAAGCTAAACAGTCTTCCACAATGAAGCAGTGATGGCAGTGAACGGTTGCCTATTTGAACGAATTTCAGAGGCACTAGTACTACCCAGTGTGGGTTCACATTAAAAAGCCTTTGCGGTCAAAATTTCTACAGTGGTGTATGGTGGTTTTGGGACGTTAAACTCTACATATCAATCATAATTACACACTTAGTCGCACCTCAAGTATTCCTGCAGGTCAAGTGCTCGAAGGCCAAAAAACATTCCTGTCTGACTTCCATGCAGACACGTGGGGCAATTCGCGAGTATAGTGCCAACACGATACATTTGACCAACGTTTTGTAGCAGGAGTTTTTGGGTTTTTTTGAAATCTAAAAAAGCGAACTCTGCCACAGTCTTTCCAAATCCCCACTCGACCGCCTGGCGAACAGTGCTCATATGCCTATTGAAAAGGGCTTGCGGTCGTGTGTGGATGGCTTCAGCATAAGGCCTCATGAGAAGAGGGCGCAGTGGGTATGCAGGGTCACCATATATCCCATATGAGTAGCTCTGGGATAACTTTTCCAGCTTCTGGTACAGTCCGCTTAGGCGTAAGATGCCTGCGAAAAAGGGAGAAAAAGAAGTTTCTTGAAATACATTTCTTTTTTACCATGCCATTTTCAGTGTCATGTTGGAGTGATCTGTTGCAGAACATTCATTTTAGATTATCCTATGCGGTGCAGGAGGCTTCCTTCCATACATACACACATGCACAAACACAGAAAAAAAGGTCTGTTTGGGCCTTGGAGATAGCCAGGCTTCAGACACTAACAAAACTTTGGGCTACTTTATGGTGATTGTACTTGACAGTTCCATTATGCAAGTCTAAAGAAATAAAGCACGTGATTACCAAAATGTGCTTTTGACTTATAGCCTAAAAGCAGGGCTGTACATTATCTATCTCGGTCTGCATGTAATCGAACAAGTACTTATTGCTGCGGAACACTTAGCAGAAATTAAGGTACAGGAAGGTATAGCGCTAACTTTGTGTCAATAATTTTAATAGCACATGTGAAAGGAATGCCTTTGCATTATAACGCAGAGATTAGGCACTGCCAGGTACAAGCAGCTATAGACTATAGGTCTAGTCACGATAGCCATTAAAGGTGGCCCAGGCATTTCATCCGAAAAGTGTCCACGAGATGAATACTGGTTGACAGCAAGCCAAAGTAGTGGAACCATCCGTAATGCTTCAATGTGATGGCTTATATTGGGAAAGACTTTCAGCAAAGTATCATTGGGAAAAACTTATCAAGCATCAAACATGTGGTTAGGGTATCACGACTCAATGTCACTAGTTTCAATTGGAAATTTAGCCTTTAGGACATTTTAGTTACACTTATTTATCACTAAACACCTTTCAATTGACCTCAACACTCGCGTCACTTCGCTCTGGAAGAAAAAAAATGGAAACATAAGAATGGACTTAGCACTTGCATAACTCCTCTTCAGGTATGTCGATTTTTGTCGATTTGCACTATGTGATAATAGTGTTTGATTAATAAAAAGTACGAACCAACTAGCCTAAGAAACACAACACTTGCAAGCTACCTTACTCAAAATCACTGTACTGCGCTTGCAACAGTTTTTGTACTGACTCATTGAACCATTCTTATGCGCTTATTATGCTAACACAGTGATCGGCAGGATTCACTGTGACACTCGTATTAGTAACTATAAGCAAACAGTATAATAAATGAAGGCACACTGACCGGCATCATGCTTGTGCCCTGCATATGGCCCATCAAGCTGGCACACAATTCCGTTTGCACACATGACCGACTGATACTTTACAGAATGCTGCCTTTTGTGGCCTGAAAAGCATATCCGCTGGTTGACTGTAGGGCGGCAAATGGGCCTCGCCGAGCCGTCCACGAAGCCCCAGCAGTTGCGCAGGGGTGCACACAGCCTGCGAAGACAAGGAAAACATACCTGAAAATCTTGCATATGACCGAAGCACTAAAATCGCGCAGCATTGTAAAAACAAATATGAACAGCTTAACAACCTACATAAAGATCAAGAACTATAGAGCAGGGCTAGAACGTGCGTGCACTAAAATTACACAATATGAATATTACGTGCTTACTTCGGAGTACTCCTCCAGATCATTCAAGCTCAGCCAGCTGTGGTTGTTGACATCCGCAAGCAGGTGCCCGAATGTGCTATAGATGTGGCCGAATAACTGGCTGACTATATTAGATAGCGCCGACGAGTGACGGCCAAAAAGGGACTCCAAGTCCCACCATCTATTGGGGTACGCGAGCCTGCGCAACTCCATCAAAAGCGCTTCTTGTCCGGACATGGTGACGCCTTGGCTGCTCCGAATTATTGGAATCTTCAGGGCCTCGGTCAGAACTTGCAGGTCTTCCTTGTAGAAGCGGAATTGCCTCCGGAAGGCCTGCTCGTCAATTTTGTTTATGTCTATATGGCCACCGGCTGATTTCCAAACCTTTTGTCCAGGCGCGCGGCAGCCGAGGAACAAATCTTCTATCTCTGTCCAAGAAAGATCGAGGTAGAACAGCTGGTCACAGAGCACGTTGCAACGTCGACGACGCAACGGTGGCATAAGTCTCAGAAGAACAGACCACGCCGATGACAAAGTCCTATTCGCGTACGTTGCCTCGTTTTTTACACGTTGTTCTGCTGTCGCGCTTGTCGGGCTACGACCAGCCGTCTGGATTGCTTGGCATCGGCGGCACCGGCTTCAGTCGCAACTGCGGCACATACGAAAACAAAGTATCTTTAGTGTTGAAAGCTGTCAGAATAATAAAAAAATAATTTCTTGATAGTAATTCACGTCATTTCACTATGTACGTTAAATTTAACACTTTAAATCGTAAAAATAATATTAAATATACTTACGTGACCGGACGCTATGGCGCTGCGAGCGCATGTGACTTTCTTGCGGCTCGCGTTTGCGTGCGTGCCACCGTGGTGCCAACTAAAAGGAATTCCGGTTGGGTATGGGTTGGGCACGCAACGTCGCACGCTCCCAAGCCCGCAAGGCCCCAAGAGAATGCGTACCCAGCACTAAAACTCCCTAGTGCTTAATGTACATGCCAATGGCTGCTAATGGGGATGAGAGACAGGAGAATTCAGCTTTTAGTTAACAAGCACGCTGCGAATTTTTTCATGTTCAACAACACTCAGAAGAAATCTCCCGCCGGCACCACCTTGCAGGTCAAAACGTAAGACTGGTTACGCAATACGACTACGACGAGGGACGAACGGGTGCCGCTGTAAGGAGCTTCGCCCCTAAAACGTCACTGCACTGTTTAATTGTTGACTGAGTGGCGGCGCTGATGTGTTCACACACAGTGTTTCTTTGATAACCGCCACCAATGTCCCACAAGCGCTTCCAACACTTCCAATGCCATGTAACCAATTTTATCAACGCTGTTGTCACGCGCTCCACCCTGTCTTCGTGCTATGGCCGTCGCAGAACATGCTCGAAGCAAACACGTCTGCCTGAGAAGCTTGAGCCATCCTGCATGTAACCTTACATGGGTAACTTTGCCTTTAAAGTATGCTTTTGATTAATTGTAAATACCAGCCTTCGTTCTCTTTCTTTGTATATCGTGTTTCTCGGTAGTTTTTGTTCCATTAGTCATTTTGGTTATTTTTTTGCTGGTTTTGTGCTCTGTCTAGTGTTTTATTTTTTGATTACTGCCGGTATGAACTGAAGCATTTTGAAAAGCAACACAATCTAGTCCTCTACTTCATAGCTGGTTGTCGGCTTGGTCTGGTCGGTAGGTCGTGATGTTAGAGCATGAAAATTTGAGCACTTGAAGAAGAAAAGTAATTCTGACAAGCAGAATATATAGTCTACAAAAATATGTAACAAACAACAAATATTGCAAAGAAGGTGTGCTAGGCAATAAATTTAAAAGACGAACAAGCTCAGAAAATAGCTAAGAAAACATGAAAACAAATTAAGCAAAAGCGCCTTCTTGTTTATGAAAAGCGTCAATACGCGCACCTACTGATACTTGTTATTTATGTTTTTAGCTTTATTTCTGGTGATGTTTTTTGTCGTTTCTTAGTTTATTGTATAATGATTGATTTGTGGCGTTTAACGTCCCAAAACTACCATATGATTATGAGACACGCCTTAGTGGAGGGCTCTGGAAATTTCGAACACCTGGGGTTCGTTAACATGCACCCAAATCTGAGTACACGGGCCTACAACATTTCCGCCCCCATCAGAAATGCAACCGCCACAGCCGGGATTTGATCCCGAGACCATCGGGGGAAGCAGCCGAGTACCTTAGCCACTAGACTAGTTTATTGTATAGCTTGGCTTCTTTGCACTACTCACCTTTTTTACGCATTTTCGTCTCGTATATATGTTCCTGTTCTGCAGAATAAACCTATTTGAAAGTTAGCGCTCGTCTTCACGTGCCTTTTGTCCTTATCCTTAGTTGACGCTATAGCAATCATCATCACTCCAGTTCATCATATTGAATCAAATTGGATCTCACCAACTCCACAACTTTGTGGCAGACATTAGGATGCCCGCAACAGGTGCACCGAGGTGCCCTCCACCCCCCACCAAAATCTTTTCCCCACTAATGATGTTCAGACCCCTGAGCGATGTAATTAGATTCCCCACGTCTTTCCGAAGCACTCAAATGCTCGGGGCGATGGTGGCGCAGCCGGTCCCTTTTCTTGCCCTGCAGACCGCCACTCGTGCGAAGAACACCTAACGAACCCCGTCACTTGCCGACAAAGCGTCATTTGCTGTTACCGGTAAAAAAAACGAAAAACAAATCATGTCCACTAATGCAGGTCTTCCTGTGCTTTGTTCGAGAAGTTTTGCGGTGGACGTCCCCCGTCGTTATTGGCTTTCCTTGTCACATCTCTTTCCATCGTCCCAATCACCTCGTCGTGTACGTGTCGTTCGCACCTGGAGCTCGTTGCCTCGCTAGATGAGGCTGGTAGCCCCGAAGGCTCGAAAGGCTATTGATGATGCGGCACACAGCTCGGCCTTCACCTCATGGCTCCCAAGGTACTTTTTTTCTTTTTGCTATATTTTTTGTTTTCGCTGACACTACGTCCTTCAATTTAGTTTGTAGACGTTCTTTGTGATCACTGTGTTACTTTCCTCCAACTGCTTTTTTTATCGATGCTTAGTAGTGAATTCCAAAATAATGGGGAACCTTTCGGCTGACGAGGCAATCATTGCTGGCAGTACACCAAGCTTTTATTTTTCTAGAGATAGGAAAAACAGCTGTTAAGATGGGGAATTACAGCTAAGATATATAAGGCTGTAACCTTATTCCCAAGTTGTGTATTTGAGCCTAAAGAGCAAAAATTTAACCAAATCCCTTGTTTTAGGCGTGTGATATTAGCATTCAAACTGCTACGTTCGTGTACGCTGGTGTATAATTTGGATCACCTTCGTGCTTAGCTGCTCTTACGAAATTCATCTCGAAGCCCTCATCGGAAGATGCGCGTGATGGTTCAATCTGCTGAACTAAAAGCCCCTACAATTCCAGCCGCTTACGATCTTTTAGTGAGCTCTATCGAACACTCTTCAATATTTATGCTTTCAACTAATGGGCCTTTATTTTAGGCAGCGTATGTTTTGTTACCATACGCATCCGATATGCCAGTTAACAACAGCCACCTAATTTTATTGTCAGTAGAGTTATTTTTATTATACCAAGAAAAACTGATTAAAGTACTCGGCCATGGCTCCGTAGAAACACAAAAGTATCTCGAGAAGCTAGTGCTGCTGTGAACATTACAGCATATCCACCGAGTGAATAATGGTAAGTGGTTCGAAGCGTCTATTCGTACATCTATGCTTCCGTTCGTCCGCCCGTATATCTGTCCGTCCGTGTGTCCGTTTGTCCTTTCTTCCGTCCGTCCATTCGTTCTTCCGTCCGTCTCTATGTTCGCGTGTGCATGCGTGTGTCCATCCACGCGTGCGTCCACCTGTCTGTCCGATCATCCACCCGTCCGTCCATCTGTCTATCCGCCCATCCCCACCCGCTGAGGTCGTCATCGAACTCGGCGGTCACGATTCACGACAACCTAGGAAGGAAAACCCCTCGGCGTAAAGGATTTTGCCCCTAAAACGAAAGCCTGGGCTGTAGTGTATGTTCTCCAATTAAGTATTTATTTACTGAAGTTGTCGAAGTTTTACAACCCTAGCTGTTGCATATTTTGGCAATTCATTTTTCATCTCTCAAACAGTCTGTATTGGTGGTGAGGGGGCTAGAAAATTTTTTTCCCGCAAGCACATTGCATGGCTCGACCCGATTGAACAAGGAACGCACACTGTGAAGACCACCATACTGACGAGAATGCCATAATACGCTTTGTAATCGCGGTCATATGGTCAGTTACTCCGCTGAAGGCCTAGATTCGATTCCTCCTTGAGTACATTATATTTTATTAATGGCGTCTATGGCGATTTTCTGATCATGGACAATGATGATTTTTCGCTCGCAGCTAATGACGTCGACACCGACACAACAGCTTCTAGGACGTACACTTTTAGGGGTGAAGCTCCTTAAAGCGGCACCCGTTCGTCCCTCGTCGTAGTCGTAGTGCGTAACCAGTGTTACGTTTTGACTTGCAAGGTGCTGCTGGTGGGAGATTTCTCCGGTGTGTTGTTGGACAATAAAAAAATTTGCAGCGTGCGCGTCAACTAAAAGCCGAATTCTCCTGTCTCTCATTCCCCATTAGCAGCCATTGGCATGTACATTGAGCACTATCTGAAAAGAAAGGGTTGCTACGGTATACTCGCTGGGGGTAACCTCCTTGGTTTTAGAAACGTTCAGCGAGCGTTGGGCTGCAGTGCCATGGATACAGTGAACTAGTATATACCATGAACTCGAGGGGGGGAAAGGTGGGAAGTAGACATAAGCGCAAGCCGTAAGAAAGTGTGCGTGTGCCACCTCTCGTTTAGTCCTTGGAATGCCCGCTGGATAGCGGTGCTTCAATATGCGGAATATATGATGAAAAGATGCGAGACGGTGGTATTCGGAGTGTTGACACTATGAACGAAGGGACACACAGACAAATGCATGGACGGATGCATGGGTGGCTGCACGGACGGATGGAGACATGGGCGGACGCAGGTGCGAACAGACGCACTCAGGAACGGGCAGATGGACGCATGGACGGTCATACAGAAGGACTAATCGACGGACGGAAGCAAGAACGAATGGACGGACGGATGCTTTACCCTACTCTCCGTCAATGACCCCGTGGATATGCTGCCATTTTTAACGCCATCACGTTGATAGGTACTGCACACTAACCAGAGGGAGCTGCGGTGCTCCCCCTGCGCCGTCTCAAAGTCTTTGACAATCGCCGTTAGGGGCACGCAGAAAAGAGACGCGTGCTCACGTCTCCAGTGTATACCGGGCACAATCCACCGACAGATGCTGGGCGCAAGACGCTCGTGTTGCGTTCTATTTTCACCGACGCCGTCTCAAGGTTTCTCTCTTTATCCGCTAGGCTATGTATTCTGGCGCTGC